GGCCACCGGCACCGGAATCAAAGCCGCGTTCCTGACGCTGTCCCTCGGAGGGGGAAATCTGCACCCAGCCCCGAAGACGAGACACTGAAAAAGTCTGCTCACTCTGCTGTGTGAGTTCACCACGCCCCCCTGCCTGTTGCGGGCGGCGAGAGCAATTGTCATGTTTGTGTTTTGACTGTTCCACTATGCAGTGCAATAAAGTCGAAAAACATACAAAACTCACCTCAATATCAAAGCAATTCTCCTCCTCTCACTCCCCTCTCCCCCATCACTCACTCTCACACTCGTGTGGTATTAAACTCCCCACCCCCCAACGGCGAGTTATCCCTCACGGTGTGCAGTCTGCCTCACCCGCTGTCACCTGGACCTTGGACCTGAGACCGCTGAATCGCGTGCTTTCGAAGCGCTCATTCAAAATGATTACGCTTAGACAAATCCTCTCACACATCAGACCGAGAGATTGGTTTATCTCTGTGGATTTAAAGGATGCTTATTTTCACATTCAGGTAGCCCCTCGCCACAGGCGTTTCCTGAGATTTACATTTGAGGGGATATAGCGTACCAATTCACAGTCCTACCCTTCGGTTTATACCTGGCCCCTCGTACGTTTACGAAATCTATGGATGCCGCTCTCTCTCCTCTGAAGCAGAGCAGAATGCGCATCCTGAACTATCTCGACGATTGGCTAGTCTTAGCCCAATCAGAGAGCGCACTGCTCACCGACAAGCTCAGACTCCTCGCTCATCTTCAGAGCTTAGAGCTGACTGTGAATATGGAAAAGAGCATGCTGGTACCGAGCCAGAACATCTCCTTTTTAGGAGTGGAGTTGAATTCAATCAATATGCGAGCGTGTCTTTCGGAGGCGCACCCACAAAAACTGATCAGCTCTCTCGCAGTCTTCAATTTAGGGCACTCTCCCCCGCTGAAATGCTTTCAGAGGACGCTCAGCCAGATCGCTGCCATCTGTGTGCAAACTAGGGCTCCTACATATGCGACCGCTTCAGCTCTGGCTAAAAGGGCCGGGTGCCACAGAGCGCATGGTGCATGGGCACATTGCGCATCAAAGTGACGTGCGACTGCTGGGATGCGCTGACCCCTTGGTGCGATATGACTCTGTATCGCCGGGGTGTTCTTATTGGCCAAGTGATCAGGAGAAAGACTGTTACAACAGATGCATTGAGCACGGGCTGGGGAGCCGTATGCGATGGCAGACCAGCCTTCGGGACATGGTCAGAAATGGATACATGTCCCCGGACGCCTGAATTACGGCACGGATTTACTGTCGAAGGGCGGGGTAATCCACGGGGAGTGGAGATTACACCCTTTGACAGTCAATATGATTTGGAGTGTATTTGGCAGGGTGGAGGTGGATCTCTTCGCATCAGCGGAGAACACCCACTGCCTGCTGTTTTATTCACTGACACGGTCTCCCCTGGGAGTGGATGCATTAGCTCACAGTTGGACGACAGTACACAAGTATGCTTTTCCTCCAGTGAAACTTCTGCCTCGCGTGCTTTGCAAAATCAGAGAGGAAAGGGAATCTGTTCTGTTAGTGGCACCGAAATGGCCCAATCAGCCGTGGTTCCCAGAACTGGTGGAGATGCTGGTAGCCCCCCGTGGACTA